ACCCAACCGTTCCTTGAGATGTGCAAACGAGGAACCTTTGTTCTTACCAACTACCATTGGAAGCCCAAGATACTTATCATAATGATCAGCACATGAGACACCGAGGGATGCTGCTAGATCCAGTTGGTCTTGGCGCTTAACATTTTTGCTAAAGCAAATTGCACTCTTCTGTAAATTAACTTGTTGACCGGATACCCACTCATACCAAGAGAGTGCCTCCTTAATTGTCCCGCAATCCCTCACATTTGCATGGGCAAACAAGTAGCAATCATCTGCGAACAGGAGGTGGTTGATTGAGGGAGCACCCCTACAAATGGAGACTCCTTGTAACCGCCCATCCCTTTCTGCCTGTGTAAGAAAACTAGAGAAACCTTGTGCACATAGAATAAATAGATAGGGTGATAACGGATCTCCCTGCCTGAGGCCTCTAGAAGGGGTAAGATAGCCACACGGTGAGCCATTAACCAGAAAGGAGTAAGTAACAGTAGTGACACAAGTCATTATAAGACTAACCCATTGATCAGCAAAACCCAATTTCTTCATCATCTGTTCCAGGAAAGACCATTCAATTCTGTCGTAAGCCTTACTCATATCAAGCTTCAGTGCCAAAAAACCTTTCTTACCCCGTCGTCGACTCCGCAGGCAATGGATGATTTCAGCAGCCAATATGGAGTTATCAGAAATAAGGCGGCCTGAGACAAAAGCGCTCTGACTGGGCGAAATCAGAGAAGGGAGGATAACTTTCAATCGGTTGGCCAGCACCTTAGAGGCAATTTTAAATAAAACGTTGCAGAGGCTGATAGGCCGAAGTTGGGTCATATCCTTTGGGTTTTTCACTTTAGGAATGAGCACCACATGGGTGAAGTTGATCTTGTGGAGTAGACGTCCAGAAGACAGAAAATTAATAATGGCTCGAGACACATCGTTGCCCACAATGTGCCAATATTTCTGAAAAAAGACAGGTGGCATTCCATCCGGCCCAGGTGCCTTGGTTGGATACATCTGAAAAACAGCATGCTTTACTTCCTGCTCAGTGAAGTCGGCAAGGAGCGAGGCATTCATGGTTGGTGTCACACATGGGTAAACAATATTTAGAAGAATATCCTCCCTGCGTCTACAATTAGAGGTGAAAAGGTGTGTGAAATAATCCACCACTATTTCCTGGACTGCTGCGCCCTCCTCTTTCCAAACACCATTACTATCGATTAGACCCTGAATATTATTCCTCCGCTTCCGCGTGTTGGCCCGTTGATGGAAGAATCTGGTATTCCTATCCCCGTCTCGAAGCCAAGCAACCTTAGCTCGTTGCTGCCAATAAACCTCCTCGCGAACCAACAACTCATCTAATTGCGTCGATAAGGCCTTGAAGGCTGCAATAGTCTGATCTGTGCACTGCTGTCGCCAAATAATCCCCAATTTATCACGAGTGCTTTGAATGTCCCGTTGCGTAGCTTTAAAAGTTGATCGGTGCCATTGTAAGAGACGAAGTCGTGTAACCTTTATTTTCTCAACTACCTGAAACATAGGTGTGCCATCAACAATAGTCGCCCAAGCAGTGCTAATTACACTTTCACAATCAGCATGGCTAGTCCACATGTGTTCAAATCGAAACCTGGGCGAAGGTGCCCCCCTTTTATTTTTCTGTTGGTTTAGGTAGATAAGGAAAGGCAGGTGGTCAGAGCGACTTGGATCCAGATGCACCACACGTGACGCAGGAAACAACTGCTG